AAGAGGTACTTTTCTCCCTTTCTCACAATACAAAAACTCGTGGGCACTCCATGAAATTGCTGAGCGGTCGGGTTAGAACAGATAAAAGGAAGTACTTCTTCACCCAAAGAGTGATTAACACTTGGAATTCACTGCCACAGGAAGTGGTGGCGGCTACAAGCATGGACAGCTTCAAAAGGGAACTCTGGGGCAAGTGATGCTCTGTCATCTTGGTGCTTGGGGGGGTCAACAGTGGGAGGGCTTCTAATGTGCTGGCCCCACTGCTGGACCTCCTGATGGCACTGGTATTTCTGGCCACTGTGTGACACAGAGTGTTGGACTGGATGGGCCTTTGGCCTGATCCAACATTGGCATCTCTTATGTTCTTATGAGTTATGAGAAGGAACAGGCAGCTCGGATTATGGCTGCCGGAGGATTGATATGTGATAGACTGTTGGACTGGATGGGTCATTGGCCTGATCCAACCTTGGCTTCTCTTATGTTCTTCTCAGCACTCTGGACTTTTTTTTGGACTGGATGGGTCATTGGCCTGATCCAACCTTGGCTTCTCTTATGTTCTTCTCAGCACTCTGGACTTTTTTTTGGACTGGATGGGTCATTGGCCTGATCCAACCTTGGCTTCTCTTATGTTCTTCTCAGCACTCTGGACTTTTTTTTGGACTGGATGGGTCATTGGCCTGATCCAACCTTGGCTTCTCTTATGTTCTTCTCAGTTAGCACTCTGGACTCCCCCCCCCTCTCTTCTCCTGCAATAAATTGACTTTCCGAACATTAAAAGCAATCCTACCACTGTTCTGTTAACTCAATGACTGTTTTCTTTTGAAGAACAAGGATTCATTCTCATTGGAAAGGAGAAGATTCTCCTCCTCTGGATTGCAGGCATGGACAGAAACAATGCTTTCTTCAGCAATGTACTGTTCCTGGAGATAACCGGAGTCTGAAGCATGTTTTCTGTTGACCCCCGACTGCCTACTTGCCTTTCTGAAACAAAGCCTGGCCTGTGAGACGGGAGCTCCAAGCCCGGGAGATCCCCTGTTCAAATCCATCAGTATTCCTTCTCAACAGAAGGACATCCAGGATTGAAACCTGGGATCCCAGATCACCGCAGACTGTGACAGCAGCCATGAAATTAAAAGACGCCTGCTCCTTGGGAGGAAAGCGATGGCGAACCTAAACAGCATGATAAAAAGTAGAGACATCACCCTGCCAACAAAAGTCCGCATGGTCAAAGCAATGGTATTCCCAGTAGTCATGTATGGCTGCGAGAGCTGGACTATAAGGAAGGCCGAGCGCCAAAGAATAGATTCTTTTGAACTATGGTGCTGGAGAAGACTCTTGAGAGTCCCTTGGACTGCAAGAAGAACAAATCAGTCAATCCTCAAAGAAATCAACCCTGACTGTTCCCTGGAAGGCCAGATAATGAAAATGAAGCTCAAATACTTTGGCCACCAAATGAGAAGGGAGCACTCACTGGAAAAGACCCTGATGCTGGGAAAGATTGAAGGTCAAAGAAGACGGGGACGGCAAAGGATGAGATGGTTAGACAGTGTCATCGATGCAACGAACATGAAATTGAGCCAACTTCAGAGGACGGCGGAAGACAAGAAACAATGTCTTCTCAAAGCACAGTACCACCAGTATCAAAGAAAGGCTCATTAAAAACACACAGTTTGTTGGCAGCATGCGGAGAAATATCAAAAAAAGGCACTGAAACACATCAGCAAAGGCTTTGGCAGCTCAGTCGTCGTAATTATCTGAAATTGCTCTTGATATCCAAGCCAATGAGACAAAGAGGCAGCTGGATGAAAAGACTGAACTTCGACTGTGCGACTGAACAACCACAACAATTGAAAACCTGGTCAGAGGGGAGAGACTGGAAGGATGCACATCACCTCACTATGCTTGCAGCCCGTCAGTTCTTGAGAATGAAGCCCAGGCGAGTTGTTGGAGTGCCAGAGTAGGAGAAGGAAGAAAAGGCTGAACCACATTCATGCTATCCCACAGAACTTTTGCCTGATAGGCTTAACTCCATAAATACCTGTTCATACACGCAAACCTACATGCACTAGGGTCTCTCCAGGGAAAAGATTAGTCTATTTTGTTTGATTTTTATTCATAGCAGGCTTTCCAGATGGCATAGCAAGGGGCAGTTCTAGAAATAAGGACTGAAATGTTAAAAGGGAATGTTCAGGTGTTTATTGGTTTAATCTGTTTCTTCTCTATGTTCCAGAAGTGTAATGGCGAAATAACTAATCTTATTAGAGGTTTCAGAAATGACAGTCCATGTTCCAGTATTGCTAATCTTTGACACTGCTGTTAGTCTTACTGCACTGAACTGCAATGGAAGTAAAAGAAACAAAGAGAAAACATCAGATGACGTCGGGGCGCCCAGTGTCCCAGAAGATTTGCAAGATGAACTGAAAGTGCTGTTTTTAACAAAGTGCTGTTTTACAAAACCCTTCTAGTGCATGAACCCTCTGGTCTAGGATTTAAGCAAAAGCCTGTTCTCTGTTACGTATTTTAATTGTGTTTTGTATTTGTATGTTTCCTCGTATCAACGCTATACTGCCTACAGTCCCCATAAAACTGAAAAGAATGCTAATGCTTGCCGGAATTAATAAAGAGATAAAATGAGCTACGGTTGGTGTCAGTGAACTATAAATCTTCACTTGGCCAAGAAAATGGGGGATCTGTTGTACGCACATTTTATGGACCACTTTGTACTCTGCCACTGTCTAACAGGTTTAACTTAGTAGGTATACTTAGCACTTCCATAATACATATGATTCTAACATCATGGATGTATTCAGGTATTAACTTTGGTTCATTTGTGACCTTTGTTTGAATGCATCCTGGGAAGAAGGCTGAAATGCTGATGCACCGTTATGCTACCCATGACCTTGCTCGTTCTGGCCAGCTACAACTGCGCATGTTTCTGATGTCAGTTAACCTAGCTAGAATGAAGAACAGTAAGCACTCTGTAACCATATCAGTTATATAGATACAACATGCTGCTTCATTGCTTCCAAAAGAAAAGTGTATTGTTCTGTTAGGAAAAAAGAACTCTGCCTGGGAACAACCCCCCCCCCCCCCCCTTAACCCAATAGGAAATAGGTGATGAAATTTGACAATGTTTGATGGAACCAATAATTCTGTTTTATTTCTCTGATGCAATGCTATTTCAGCCATTGTAACATTTGAAGAATCTGTTGGGTATTCAGGGATCCAAAACCCTTGAATCTGTATTCTTCCTTATTAATTAATTAAAAACAATTTTTTGGTTTCCAACTCTACAGGACTGCTTTTGTGTGTTTTCTCAAATTGGCCTGGGCAAACACAATCAGGCACAGAGGTTCTGTCTTACATTCACTTCCCCTAGAGTTGCAAACTCAAGACACACCTTTAGAAGATGGGGAACTTTCCCAAGAACGTACGCATTTCGCAACACCTCCGCCCTCAGACAGACAACGACACCCAGAGGAACCATGACTGTATTTCCCAGTTCTTCTCCCAGCCGAGTCCTTCACTGGCGTTTCGTTTCCTTCAGCGGGTCGTAATTCAGCAAGTGGATCAGGGAAGCAACCCCAACCAAGAAAGTTTGGGCGGCCCACCAGAACTGGGTTGACGGATCTGTGATGCCCTTGTCCCTGCAGGGGAGACACAAGCCAGCCAACTTTCAAACGCCGTCCACACGGCCCAGCTCCCAGTGGTGACATCCACACAGCCCTCCGATTCACAAAAGGGAAGGCTGGAGATAGAGATGTGAAGGCTCAGAAAAAAGCCGGAAAAATTCGGGGGGAAACCAGTTTTTTCCCGTTTTTTTCCTGAAGCCTTTTTTGTTTTTTTCCGAAAAACTGGAAAAATTGAAAAAAGGAAAGGAAAAAAAATTGATTATGGAACGTTTTATTTTAACATGATGAATAAAATATTTTAAAACAAGCTGTTCAAATATTTTCCAAATCATTTCTAAAATATATATATATGGTATCAGATTGATCTAATTTCTGTATACTGAGGACAAGCAAGTTCTAGGTTACAAACTGAACTCTCCAATGCGAGAACAAGATGCATTTCTTCCTTTAGGAGGTGCTATTGTCAGAAGAAAATAAAAAGGTTTCAGTTTTGTTTTTGCATGTGGGTGGGTATTCTGTTTGTAATAATTGTTTGGACACACTATATTTTTAATAGGCTAGTTGTGATAATTTCATGCCAAGTAAAAATGTCCATAGTCATATTTTATGTTCCTAAAGTAACAGAATGACTTTCAATCTAGAAAAGACAAAAGAAATGCTAACGCAGCATTTTTTCCAATTTGTCCGAAAATTTCCGTTTCCCCCTGAAAAAAACTGGGGGGGGATGGGTTTTTTTCCAAGCTTCAAAATTTCCGGAAATTTTACATCTCTAGCTGGAGATGAAATGAACATGTATGGTCATGCAGGGCACCTCAGCTGTGAGGACCCTGTGGGCAAACACTTCTGGACTCCTGAACGAGGATTGAGGGGGCCAGCACAATACGACTGCCCTGGTGGCAATGGTGGGGCTCTTAACAACATCTTGGGAAGTTCCCATCCAAGCGTCCTATGACAGGAGCAGCGTTTTTCCTGAATGGGTGTTCCCTGCTGACCACAAGGCTCTTCTGAAGTGTCTCCTCTAAGGAATAAAAAGCCCAGACTAACAAGCTTTATTGTAGCATAAGCTTTCAAGAAACACAGCTCTCTTCATCAGATGCATGGGAGGTATGAAGAAACTGTCCAGAGATATATAGGTGGTAAGGGGAGGGGGGGATGCAGAAAGTGCCATGTCAATGCAAAGCAGTTGCAAAAGTCATGAAAAAGGTTGAACGCACAATCCAGGCCGTCACATTCAGTACATGTGCAGATTAGCTAGAATCCAGCTAATACATTGTGAAGACCTTGGGTTCTGTTATTAGAGAGTCAACCTTGAATGTTTCCTTCATAAGTAGTAATTGATCAACTCAGATAAAGCAATTATTGTGAAACAAATTGTTTACATTGCGCAGCATGCGTTAGCGTGTGAGTGATAACAGAAGAGGATTTTCTACATAATTACTACAGTAAATGATTTTGCAGCATCTTTTTTTCACTCTTCCGTTATTTTCGTCAGGGATGTTGTTTTTGATTTGCTGCTTGAAGACTGCCAGGGAGGGGGAGCTCACCACCTTCCTAGGCAGCTGATTCCACTGTTGCACAACTCTCACTGTAAAAATCTTTCCCCTAATATCCACTAGCATCTTTCTGCCCATAATTGACACCCATTCTTTTATTTATTTTATTTATTTGAGATTTGTATCCCGCCCTGGAGCAGCGGTGGCTCAAGTGGTTAAGATGCTGAACTGCAGGCTGTGGAAGGTCGGTAGTTCAGCAGATCAAGACCCGGGTGCCGCAAGCCGGGGTGAGCTCCCGTCTCTAGTTCCAGCTCCTGCCAACCTAGCAGTTCGAAAGCAAGAAATTTCAAGTAGATAAATAGGTACCACTTTGGTGGGAAGGTAACAGCGTTCCGTGCGCCTTGGTGTTTAGTCATGCCGGCCACATGACCACGGAAACGTCTTTGGACAGCGCTGGCTCTTCGGCTTGGAAATGGAGATGAGCACCGCATCCCTAGAGTCGGATTCGACTGGCTTTCGAGCAAGGGAACCTTTACTTTACTATCCCGCCCTACCCAAATGGCTCAGGTGGCTGACAAGCGGCAATACCGAATAAGAACGATAAAACAATGTTATATACATAATAAAATTTGGTGCTCTACTATTCTGCATTAAATCCCCCAAGATATGCAACACCCCACATTGACGGCCAGTTTTATTAAATGGCGTGAGCACCAGGAGTTATATTTTTCCCCATCTCTTGCGAGTCCTCTCCTCTTCTACCGACAGGAACAGCTCCCTGCCCTCCTCTAAGGGACAGCCCTTCAAATACTTCAAGAGACCCATCCTGTCCCCCCATAACCTCCTCTTCCCCAGACTGAAAGAAAGAGAGACCGCTTACCGGCACAACTTCAGAGCATAAATTGTTTCAGCGACGTGAACTATCCAAGCAACGGCATACCTGAAAATGAGGGGGGAATGCATTATTTGGGGACTATGTTCCTTCACATCTGGCCCGAGACATTCCGTTGCCCAAGGCTGATGGGTCCAATCCCCCACCACAATATAATTCAAATGTGGGGACAATATGGGGGGGGGGGCTCTCCTGCCCCTCACTGAGCTGTACCCTTTGTGCAGCTCCCGTTCATGTCAACCCAGGACTTAAAGGGGGGGGGGAGGTATTGCATCTACAACCCTTCAAGAGAAGAAAAACAAGGAGAGGAGAAGAGATTGGATTTATACCCCGCCCTTCACTACCCAAAGGTGTCTCAGAGCGGCTTACAATCTCCTTTCCCTTCCCCTTCCCACAACAGACACCAGCTGTGAGGTAGGCGGGGCTGAGAGAGCTCTTTCGAGAACAGCTCTTGAGAGAACTGTGACTGGCCCAAGGTCACCCAGCTGGCTGCACGTGGAGGAGTGGGGGATCAAACCTGGTTCTCCAGATTAGAGTCCGCCGCTCTTAACCACCACACCAAGCACCCAGGGTTGGACCCCAAACTGCCTTCTCAAGCACGCCTGATCAAGACCTTGCTCTTTTACCGAGCGGCTGACCCTGACCTTTAAGCCTCTGGGGTAACCAGGAGAGCAAAGTCACTGAGCACGGAAATCGGAGCTCCTTTTCCAAATCCAGCTTACCCAACGTTCAGCAAGGCTTTGTGATTCTCCACCAAGCATCTTGTGAAGGTGCCTAGGGGTCCCAGGGAGTCATAGGGGATGGTTGCCGGTGAAAAGACGGCCCACTAAGAGAGAGGGAAAGGAGACAGGTGTATCAGGGGTCCAAAGGACAGGTCTATCTTACACAACAGAAGAGGAGAAAGGGTTTCACACGACACGCCCCCCAGCTTCCTTTTTAAGCCCAGTTCTAGAAACATGACATGCAGAATGGGGTCCGGTGTAGAAATTCACAGCTGCCTAGGAAACCCAGCATAATCACCCCAGGTAGAAGTGTTTAGCTTTAATGGCTGGAAACGAATGAGCAGTGCGGGAGTTAATGCTAAACAAGGCAACTGAAGGGACAGCTATCCCACAAGAGAAGGGGACTGTGAATATCCATATCAGTTTGGGTGTTTATACTCTTCTCTCCTCGGGGGAGACCCAAAGGATCTTACACAGTTCTCTCTGCCTCCAACAGTATCCTCACAACAACCCAGTAAGGCAAGAATCTTCTCCACCACTGAGAGATCTCACCGCACTGTTCTGCTGTTCTTCAGAGCAAGCCTGCAAAGAGGCACTGGAATCACGGCCCCCTCAGCCCCGGCCACACGGGCCAGATAACGCGGGGGGAGGCATGACTGTTCGCCCCAGAACAAAATAAAGCGCGGTAGCCCGATCACACGGTCCCCCGAGTCTCTGTGCTTAGGCTGTTAGCTGGCGATCACACGGCGATGCTGCAGCGTGGCAAAGAAGCGGCACAACGCAATCACACAAGTGTTTCACATTTGTGCACATGTGCAGTTCCACGGAGCAGCGCTGCTTAGTTTCGTGTTTGTGTGCATGCGCTTACGAAAAACATCCAGTTTGCAACGGGACGTCACATGGACGGGCGCCGGATGCCACGGGATACTAGCGCTCCAGCGATCAGACGCCCGTCTGTGCCGCGCATTTTCCGAATACTAGTGCGCTTTCCTTGGTACTTTTTAACTCTGCATCTTCGGCGGGACGCCATGGGTTGGCCACGGGTGCGCTGCGCTTCCCAGATGTTGCGGTGTGATCGCACCCTGAAAATCCACCCAACATTCGTGCCTTTCGCGTGGCAAATTCTCTGTGTGACCGGGGCCCTTGTCTCTTTACCCAGCGAGGACTTCTGGAGGGCTGCTGATAATGGAAGCGCCAGCCCTCAACTGCAGGGGCTTGCCTACCCAGCAAGAGGGGCTCTCTGTGCCCCACGAGAGGGTCCCAAGCCCTGGGCTGGACCTCTGAGCTACTTACTTATTTCCCTTCTTTTACACGTGGTCTTTCTCCCCACTGGGGCCCTCCTCTCTCCCACTTAATTCTCACACCAGCCCTGTGAGGTAGGTGAGGCTGAGAAAAGCACGCCTGCCGCAAGGTCACCCACCATGCCTCCACGGCGCAGTGGGGAGTCAAGCCCAGGGCTCCAACCACTGCACCTCACTGGCTCGCCACAACAGCCGGCCCGTCATTTCTTTAAAACCCAAAGAGAAACAAGAAGAATAAGAAGAGATTGGATTTATACACCACCCTTCACTACCCAACGGAGTCTCAGAGCGGCTTACAAACTCCTTTCCCTTCCCCTTCCCACAACAGGCACCCTGTGAGGTGGGTGGGGCTGAGAGAGCTCTGACAGAAACTGCTCTTTTTCAAAAACAGGTCTTATCAGAACTACGGCTTGCCCAAGGTCATCCAGCAGCTCCATGTGAAGGAGTGGGGAATCAAACCCGGTTCTCCCAGATCAGAGTCCGCGCACTTGATCACTACACCAGGTTTATTCCATAGTCAACAATGCATGCCATTTCTAACTTGAAAACAAAGAAGAGGGTTCCCCCCCCCTTTCCTTTTGGGGTAACATGTGATCAAAACAAGCCTTACCAGGTGCACTTCTGGCAGGACACAAGAAATTTATCCGTGTGGTTTCGCATTTGCCTGGCAGCTCATTTAAACTGTGCTCTCAAGTCTCCACACCTGCAATGTTGACCCATGCACACCATAGACCTCCAGCCCAGCTGGCAAGTATGAGGCCATGACTCAAAAGCAGAGCATCTGCTTGGCATGCTGAAGGTCCCAGGTTCAATCCCCGGCCTCTCCCAGGTCAAAGGTTCAGAAAGTTGGAGATGTGAAAAACCTCCACCGGAGACCCCGGAGAGGGTGGGCAGTAAGTGACCGTGACAGACCAAGAATTGGACTCTGTGTGCAAGGTAACATGACACGTGTGTAGCAGAAGCGCATGCATGTGCTGGGCTTGCTCATGGGTGCGTCCTTCCACTCTGCCAGCATCGCTTTTAAAACTGGGTCATGCATCTCCCTCCGTACCTCCACCCTGTCCCATTCAAAGAATTAACTACTAGAAAATCGGGGGGGGGGGGGGGGGGGGGGAAAGGTTGTAAACAGCCAGGTCTTGCCATTCATGTGCCCCTTGGGCCACGACCCACCCAGCGCTTCTCCGACCCCTTCATGCGTCAGCAGAGACCCAAAATATATATAAAAAAATTAAAACCCAACCAACCAACCAATAAATAACAGGAGGGGAAACTGCCCGGGGTGCAAATAAATGATACCTTCAAACCTGGGGAGCCAGCGCAGCCTCCAAGGGCAGGGCTAAGACCCGAGGGATCCAGGTTCAAATCCCTGCTCGCTGGGTGCCCTTGGGCCCTCAGTCTCACCTACCTTGCAGGGCTGTTGTGAAGAAAGGTTCTAGGCTGCTCTCGTCTCTTTGGACAGAGGGCAGGATAACGAAAATGCACATATTATTACTATACCAATTAATAATAGCATTTAGCAGTATCGATGCATTATTATTATTACTATTATTATTAGGAACAAAGAGGGTTGCCAGGCCTGGGTTGGAAAACACCTGGAGACTTTTGGGGTGGAGCCTGTAGAGGGCGGGGTTTTGGGGAGGGGCCTCAGCATGGTACAATGCCGTGGAGTCCCGTCTCCGAAGCAGCCCTTTTCTCCAGGGGAGATCTCCGTCGGCTGAGGATCAGCTGTAAGAGCGGGAGATCCCCAGGCCCCACCTGGAGGCTAATACAAAAACTGAGGGTCACAGTGTCAGGAAGACGTACAAAAATGTTAGATCACTGTGTACAGTAAATATATGTCATATGGTAGAACAATGTTATGCTTCATTCTTTTTATATTTTTCAATACTGTTATCTAAATATTGGTGTCAAACAGTATCAAGAATATATTTCACCCAAACAATACACAGAGAAAAGTATTTTTCACCTGAGCAATACATCGAATGCATTCCGACAGCACCAAACCTGCACTCAATGTATTGTTCGGGTGTGATACACAAATCTGTGCCTGCATGCTCCCGTGCCAAATTGCAAACACACAGTCGGAGTCCAACGAGTTAGATGAATATCCGTTTAATGCATTGAAACAGGGAATATAGGGCTGAGTGCCTTTGCACTCAGCAATTCCAAAACTGTATTCTGCCATAACCAGGAAGGGCAGAAGGTCTTATACCCCAAACGGCATCACATAGTGATCACACATTAAAGAGTTTCTAATTGGCCCCTTGCTTATTTAATATATATGCAGAGTACATCATGTGAAATGCTGGCCTGGATGAATCACATGCGGGAATTAAGATTGCTGGGGAAAAGATCAACAACCTCAGAGATGCAGACGATACCACTCTAATGGCAGAAAGTGAAGAGGACTTTAAGAGCCTCTTGCTTAGAGTAAAAGAGGAGAGCGCAAAAGTGGGCTTGAAGCTCAACATCAAAAAAACTAAGATCATGCCATCCGGCCCCATCACTCCTTGGCAAATAGAAGGGGAAGTCGTGGAAGTAGTGACAGACTTCACGTTCCTAGGATCCCAGATCACCGCAGACTGTGACAGCAGCCATGAAATTAAAAGACGCCTGCTCCTTGGGAGGAAAGCGATGGCGAACCTAAACAGCATGATAAAAAGTAGAGACATCACCCTGCCAACCAAAGTCCGCATGGTCAAAGCAATGGTATTCCCAGTAGTCATGTATGGCTGCGAGAGTTGGACTATAAGGAAAGTGCCGAAGAATAGATTCTTTTGAACTATGGTGCTGGAGAAGACTCTTGAGAGTCCCTTTGACTGCAAGGAGATCAAATCAGTCAATCCTAAAAGAAATCAACCCTGACTGTTCCCTGGAAGGCCAGATAATGAAGCTGAAGCTCCAATACTTTGGCCACCACCAAATGAGAACGGAGCACTCCCTGGAGAAGAAGACCCTGATGCTGGGAAAGATTGAAGGTCAAAGAAGACGGGGACGGCAAAGGATGAGATGGTTAGACAGTGTCATAGATGCAACGAACATGAAGTTGAGCATGTAGCGCATTTCATTTATTTCATAGCAGTTCGAAAGCAAGACATTGCAAGTAGATAAAATAGGTACCGCTTTGGTGGGAAGGTCACAGCGTTCCGTGCGCCTTGGCGTTTAGTCATGCCGGCCACACGACCACGGAAACGTCTTCGGACAGCGCTGGCTCTTCGGCTTCGAAACGGAGATGAGCACCGCAACCCTAGAGTCGGACTCGACTGGCTTTCGAGCAAGGGAGACCTTTACCTTTTTAAACATGCCTTTACTGGACAGGGGGCTCTCTTTATTTTCGAATGCCCGCCGGGAGGCTGGCAAGCCTGGGAACAGGTCCCACGAACAGTCATGCTTCCACCAAGGGCGATGCTCTGAGCGGCTCTCGAGGGTTTCCGACGCCCAGAAAAAGGGGGCTGCATCCATTCCCGCCCCCCCCGCCTCCCCCTCTCCCCTCCCCGGAGGGACTCACGCCGACGTAGGTCAGGCCGGCCGCCACCAGCAGCATCCACGCCGGGCTGACCCGTCGGAAGTAGGTGCTGCTGCCGCTGCTGCCGCTGCTCCTCCGCGGGGTCTCGCCGGGCATCGTCGGGGCTGCTCCGCCGCCGCCGCCGCCGTCGGGGAGCAGCAGCCGCTCCGCGAAGCTCTCCCGCGC